CAGGAATGTAGTTTATAGAACCTTCCAATATCCTGCTGATTGTTAAATCAACATTTTTTGTTATAACTAAGGAAAATAAAACAAATTTACCTTATCACGGACACATCACTGTACACGAAGATATATATACCGTTTAACCTTTACTCGAATTCTCGCACTCACGCACTTACACATCAAGCGCCTCATTCTGTGTAATTCGACACAATGAAACAACCCGAACACTCGCTTCCCACAAATCCAACCCCTGGGTCCTCGTTCCGGGAAGTGAAAACGCCAATTTTAAAGATTAAAACGCTTTAAATTGGCGGCCGAAGGTGCTCAGGTAATCACACCTTGCATGGATGAAATGGAATTTTACACATTATCATCAATAATCGTTTTGTGATGAATTTTTCTGTTAAATATCTGGAAATTTACTTATGGTAAGAAATTATCGCGCTCGTATTTCAGTATTGCTAACTCTTACATAAGATCATTAAGTTAATTAAAGATCTCGGTGCTCATCGTATATTTCATCACACTTGCAATATGGCAGCTGGTGATTTTTTGTTTTGTTTATGGAGGGCACGAAGAGAGGGCCGTTTTAATCTTACCCATGCTTGGTTTCTGAAGATCCACAATTTGGGCTGCCAGGCTGTCTTGACACATCAGGTACAGATTCTTGAACAGTTCAAATTTGATCTCAGAGAGGTAGACTGAAGTCCTAACCGCTTAAACATCCGGCTGTCACCTTCTTCTCCTAGGTGTTGAAAGTTAACAAGTAGCGATACTTGCATATAAAGAGTTTCTTATTGTACACTAGAAACTTCTACATAAACTGTTTTTAGTTGGTCTGCAATATACCATATCTCTCACATAATATATTACAGTAGAGCGTCGTTTATCCGAAAGAATTCCAGTCGGCAAATTTAAATTTTCGCTAGTGCTGCGGCGCTGCAATCTTTGGCTATATCTTGGGCTACTCCAATATTTTTCTTTGTTGTGTGTGTTTTAGCTGGCAGCACTGACACTTTTGTGTGGTGTTTTTCCGAGGACTGTGTGTCATGCTGAATCGAACGTTTTTGATACTAGATTAACTTAAAAACAAAAAAATTATACTTTAGATTTTTCAATAAATTTATTTTGTTTGTAAAAAATAAAGAAATAACTTTTAACGATACAATAGCCACGATTATTATTTTAAAAAGTTTACATTAAGCTTAACATCGACAAAAATTCAACGCGAAGCGACACGCAACGGAGAAAAATTTCAACACGAGATGGGTAAATATATTTTTTCGTACATAATCGGTTATCCGAAAAATAAGTTATCCGAACAACCCGAGTCCCCAATTGATTCGGATAAACGATGCTCTACTGTATTTCGTTGAGAAATTGCTATTCGATGTATGCAATTTTGTTCACGATGCATTTTCGGATTTATTGCCAATTATTTGTAACACGACTGGCAGGCTGCTGGATTTCAATGAACTTGGGTAAAGGTTATACGTATAACACATAGGAAAGACGGATGGGAGGCCGAGAATGTCTCGCTTGGAACGAGTTAGTGCCGGTTCCTATAGGCTGAATGCAAGTTTTAGAATACATTTGACAGTCAAACTANATGATACCTTGTTTACAATTTACTAAAATGTAATTGGGGTTCCATAATACCACCTTCTCCTCTACTATATTTTTATTATGGTAAAGTTGGTATCATTTTATTCCACTAAAACTCTATAACTTACGTTTTTCCTTCAAAAAAGGTTAAATAACATAAAAAACATTTATTTACTCGTAAAATGTGTAGATGCTACCTTTAATTAATTTATTATTGCAGGCGAAAGGCACATAATTCGTGGGCATTTTAAACGCAATACGAGTAAGTACGCTCGTATTCTGCTTAAAATGCCACGAATTATGTGTTTTTCGCTTGCAATAAAATCCGGTACAATGGCGGACAAATTGATGGGAGAAAAAACGGGCTTCAACACAGAACTATCGCTCCTGTTATATCAATACTTTATTCTGTGGTGGCAATTATTACAAGATCATCCAATCTGGTCGTGATCGTGTTAGTTTCTTTGCGGTTCTTTTTATGACGTAGTCAGTTATAAAACGTAGCAATAAATTAATATTTTGTGACAATAATGAACGACGCCTTTTCCTAATCTGGGGGGGGAGTTTAGGGGATTTTTTTGGGTAAAATATTATTTTCTAGGGGACGCTGCGGCTTGGAAGTTGGCAACTCTGCATATTTGTTTATATGTTGTTGGTCACGTGATGAGGTTGGATGTATGAAAATATTTTAGACTCGTCTCGGAAGAATTAAACAAACTTTCTCGATTTAATTAAAGTTATGAAGGAGTCATGATGGTAAATATAGAAAATACATCAGATGAAGGGAGTATTTTGCGCAAGATGGGAGACGACTGTGTAGTTTATCATTCTTCAGTCACTTTCCAAGACTATTTGGATGATAGCCTGGAATCTTTCACCGATCGAATCTTCGATAATGAAAGAATCAGAAACGATGTCGATCATTTCGATCAGAACCTTAATAGTAAGGTTGATAACAACGTGGAAGAACAAGAAAATGCCGGGTTTGTATTTCTCATCTTTTGTCACAGGCTATTATATTTAATTATATTTCTATTTTCTTGATAGTCATGTTCCATTTAAAGTCTTATTGCTAAAACTAGTTCATACTTGATCGAAATGAGTACTTTGTAAGCAAAAACTGTGTAAAGAGATGCCAAATTGTACATTGTAGCCAAACAATTCTGTAAATTTTACCAAATATTTCTAAATCTATGATGCTTCCTTATTATGAAAATATTTTAAATACTGTATATGTAAATATTGTTCATTTTTTAAAATAATATGCATTTTATGTTTTATATTAAACAAGAATAAAAAAAGAAACAGTAGTGCTGTTTGATAATGCAATTAAATGAAAATCTAACCATGTCTTAATTAACTTTCTATATTTCTTGTTGGAGTCTGAAAGATGTAAATAAACAATGTTTAAAGTAAAATTAATTACATAACTATTTGTTCGAGTACAAGTTGAAGTTGAATCTAATTAGTAATTTGTTTTTTTTGACGGTTATAAAAATTATGGGCCGTCTTTTCTGATTGATCAATTGAACTGTAAGAATAAAACTTTATGATCAATTAACTAGATGTTGATAGCATTATAAGAAATTATGGTATGTATAATTTCTTATGAAATCTTTTGAATTTGACTATATTCAACCGAAATGATTCGCTTAAGTATTAATTTATATTTGAGGATTTTTTCTAAATTTAGATTTTTAACCTTTATCACAAGCTTACCTTAAATTTAAGCTTTCTTTGCTTTATATTGGCCTATATAATTAGCTAGTTATATATAGATAACTATTTTAATATAACTATTTATTTAAAGATGTGATTCCTGGTTAGTATTAAATTGAAGCTACTTTTTTAATAATATAAATATGAAAGATTATAACTTTTATTATGAATAATAATTCATAATATTATAATAGAGTATTTAAGATAACATATCTTAAAGTATAGTCTATTATTGCAATAAAAAATGATTACAAATCTTTTTACTTTGATATGAATTGTTGAAATTTTTTAATGTTTCTCATGAATATTAGAAATTTTCATTGTTGAATTTAACTTTATTATTTTAAAATATAATATCCCATAATTAAAAAGAAATTTACTTTTGAGTTAATACATTTTTGGATGAATTGAATCTTATAAATTTATTTATCTTAAAACTTTATTTTCATATATTTATTATTCTAGGAATACAAATTTTAAAAATTAAACTTTACAAGTGTTATCTAAATTGATTTTTTATGTTCTGATATAAATTGTACTTTTGATATATTCATCAATTAGACCAAATTCAGTGCTACTATCCTTGAGGGTGATAGAAGACTCAATGGGATGCTGGAAGGCAAGGGAGACAAAAATTCATTTTTGTCAAAAAACATATACATATAAATAAACAAAAAAACATATAAGAAACAAAAAAAAAATTATATATATATATATATGCACTAAAAGGGACAGTAGTCAGATGAAAAGTTTGAGAAACACAACTGGACTAGTGGAGACAGTTTGTTCATTATACTAAAAATATAATTTAAAGTGAAGCAAGTAAGGGAAACAAGCAAACTCTATTAAACTTGGTTTCTGATTAATTGTTTTATTAAACTAGTTAGTACGTTTATTAATAATTAATTCTTACTAATATATAGCCATTTGAAGAAGAAAAGTTCATCTGCAATGTAAAAAGATTTCTTGCATTTAAATAATTTTTATAAATATCTGTAGTTATAATAGGTCTTAAAAATTCTTATTTTATTGACTATTATATAAGAATTTGTGTCATGTTCAATTGAATTTTTCCTGCTATGAGTAGATACAATTAAAAATAGACATCAGAAGTGTACAATATACAGCCATTAGTTATTTGTATAAATTACATAATTGAACTATTAAAATAAATTCATAATGCGTAGAGTGATTATAAGAAGAAATATAAATCAAATTAGATATTCTTGTACACTTTAAGAAAATAATTAAAAAATTAGATTCTTTCAATAGGAGAGAGAGAGAATATTTTAAATCCTCATATTGAAAATATTAATTTGACAAATGTTTTTTTAAGCTATATCCAAATTATTTACAATTTTAATTGTTTCTAATTCTTCCTCCACACCCCTATGACTTTGGTTTTATGCATGTTGTAATGTATTTATCTGTAATTTTAACTTCTTTTGTTATTTCTTGCTTTGATAATTATAATTTTTTCTAATTTACAGTTTACACTCAAGAAGTGTAAATTTACTTCTTGTAATTTTCAGAATAAATGTATCTCATCTGAATTTCTTTTCTTCCTATTATATAACATCAATTTAATTGCATACAATCTTAGATTCTCTACATAGATTATCAAATTAATAATGTGAATGAGCAGACAAATTTCTGGAATTAATTCAAATTTAATAGATTAATTTACATTTATTAGGATATTAATTTTATGATGATTATCTTTTTAGTTTTAAATCCTAATCAAATTAGCTAGTATAACAGCATATCTGTACTTATATTTGAATTGTGATACTTCTTGATACATTCCTACTTAAAGTTTATAAACATTGTATCAGAGATTTAGTCATAAGCATGTATATTACAAATTAACTACAGTAGTTTTAAACTTAAAAGAAATAACAGCCAGACATTGAAAATTTAACTAAAATCAATGCTTGAAGAACAAATTTTATCCATTAAATGCTGCATTCAGATATTCTAAAACACCATTGGCCTATTTGTCATGAGTTCATTTTGAGAAGTTGTATATTTTTTTAATGTTTTAAAATCTACTCAATGTTTTTCTCTTTGAACTTTTAAATGAATAATAAATTGTTCATAGATTGTTAAAGATTATCTGTAAAATATATATGTATAGTACTTATATTTTTCATTGGAAGCATTTTTAGATAGTAACTAAAATATTATTTTAAATGTAACATTTCAATTAGTTTTCAATAAAATCTTTTTGGTTTATCTAAAGAAATAAATAATGCATGGTTCATTGATAGTTGGAAAGAGATCTTTTTGTGGCAAGTACAGTAAGCATTTAACACCAAGAATAGGCTCGTATTTAGTGTATTAAATTACTTATATATCAAAATAATACTTGTTTCAAAAAAATGTCTTCCTTATTATATTATGTACAAAATCAATCTTTCCTGTATAAAGTTAATAAACTCAAATTATGCAATATTTTTGATTTAATAATTCATTTAATTGCTGATTTCAATGTTTTGAAATTTTTTAAAGAAATCTGAGGGTGACCTTGATTGTAAGTTACTGGTATCCAGTTGTTTTTTGTTATTTCATTCTAACATATTTCTTAAATAAATAACTGAAAAATAATTAAATTGTTCTTATATACACACAAAAACATTATTTTTAAATTATTAACTTTTATTACAAATAACACTTATTGTTTATTTAGTAGTATTAACGTTGCTCAGATTGTATATCTTAATTTAATAATGTTACGAAATAACCATAAAAAGAATTTTATATGTAATTGCAGGATACTTAATAAAGTAATACTTTAAAATGTTATAGCCTAATATACTTATTTACACATAAAAGTAGCAAGTTTCAATATATAATTTTATATAAAATCAGTATGAAATTTATCACATTTAATGATAGTTTTCTATTAATTTATAAACTGAAAAAATATCTCATTCTCATATGTTAATGAAATATTAAGGTATTTTTTTATAGAATTATATTTTTTGACTTTGTATTTTATCCCATGTTAGATCAGTATTCTTTGATAATCTCTACGATGGACTATGCTTGATTAACAATTATAGGAGGCTATTTTAATATTTTTTTACCTGAAAATTATTTAAAAAGTGGAATCAGTTGCAAAAATTGCACGTCTATTCATTAAGTTTATAATAATGAACTGGAGCTGTCCAGATGACCAAGTGGTTAAGAGCAGCCTACTGCTCTGAGGAACCCAGGATCAAATCTGGATAGATCAGAAAACCTAGGAACTTTTTGGGGGTGGTCCATCTGGATATATTGGGGCCCATCTCTCACCACCTGCCCATCCTACTGTGGGCCAGCCAAACTCATAATGGGCTTACTAAAAAGATCCTCTTAGTGCTCATAGGGCAGAAAGGGTTCAAATTAAAAATAATAATAATAATAGTAATTGTGAAAATGTTGAAGGATCAAAGTAGATTCACCAATATAAAAAACATAACTTTTTCTTAATTGTGAGAAAATACATATTTTTTCAAAAATTATCATCATCTCTTTGATATAACTAATAGTAGACAGTATATAACAAATTATGATTTCAGATCTAACATTGATAACACAAAATTATTTCTGTATAAAACTTTTATCAATGAAGTATACATTCATTCAGTATTTCTTATCTATAAATATGAGACAAGTTTAATCATTTTACTTTTGTTGAATGCTATCTACATAGTTTCAAAAAATATAAAGAACTAAAAACAATTTTAAAGAATACAAATACATGCAGTTGAACCTGTCTATCTCAAGCATTTTTACCTCAAAAACTTCTATCTTGAAAATTTTTTCCCCTGCATTTTCAGCCTAAATTCAATACATTTTCCATACTTATCTCAAATAATTTTCTCCCAAAACCTCTATATCTCATATTATGGACTGAAGTGTCAATTAGAAAGCTTGGCAACTACATTTTGATATCAGAAACTGCAGTTTAGAACAATCTCTTGCAATACAGTACATACTGTAGTTGCAATTAATTAATGTTGCTTTTCTCTAATTGGTGAGTTTGGCTTGCATCTTATTGGTTGAAGAAAGTCAGGCATCATAAACTATTGAAAAACTATTTCTGTTAAGGTATGTCAATGTTTTATTTATACCTAATGTAGGAATGTACTATACTTGCTATTGTATTAATAAAATACTGTATTTCCAATCAAACCTATTATCATTTACTGTAAAGGAAACTATATATCTCAAAACCTGTCTATCTCTAATTTTTTTCTCATTTTCATTGACTATACATTGAACCTGTCTATCTCAAATCTCAAAGAATCTGAATAATTCAATTAACTAAATAACTATTGCCAGATTACATTGAGGCTGTAATATGAATAACATTTCACTGAATTCTCTGTAAGAATTGATTAATCCAAAACAATGCTTGCCTTATCAAACACTTTTATTTCATTAAGATACATTTTACGATTATTTATCCTCCCTTCAGTGTAGAATTTTATCAGTTTTGACAAGACATCTTTTCAATAATTAGTTCTTATAGGAAGTTCTATAAATTGAGTTTTATAAAACAATTTCAGGACTGACTGCTGATAGCACATAATAGCCTAAATGTAATTTTATGACAGTTATTTGGTTCATTAAAGAATATGTAAATTTTAAAAATGGAAATTTCCTATCTTTATTTTTAGATTATTATTCAATTGATTATCTAATAAAATTTGAGTTTTCTAGTTAATTTATGTCATTATTTATTTTCAGATATATTCAGCATACCATATCTGCTGATCAGATATGCATGCAGATTAATCCTGGTAATGTTCCCATGCCAAAGAATCCTTCTCATGCAATATTAACAATAGAAAGTAGAAACCAAGAAACAAAAAAGAAAGAAATTAAAAGATTTCGTTGTGATTATGAGGGATGTTCACGTACTTACAGCACTGCTGGGAATCTCAAGACTCATCAGAAAACTCATACTGGTATGTTATATTCATTTGTTGTTTGTACATTGATGTTTGCTTTATTATAAAAATTTATAAATTGTGTGTTTGTGTATATATATATATATTTATCTTATCTTAGGTGAATATACATTTGTTTGTGCAGAAGAAGGATGTGGGAAATCCTTTCTTACTTCATACAGCCTGAAAATTCATGTTAGAGTTCATACAAAAGAAAAGCCATTTGAATGTGATGTAACTGGTTGTGAAAAAGCATTTAATACATTGTACAGGTGAGCATTTACTTTGAAAATTTATATTGAGTTATAATTGTATACAGCAAGGATGGTCAACAAGTCTATTGTGATTGACCGGTCAATCAGCACATCATTTTTGGTCAATCTCAGAAAGTATGGCCTTGTTAAAATGCAAAAAACATGATGTAATTTTGGTAGGAATATTAAATTCACATTTTTTGCAGAGAAATCTTTTAACTGTTTGCTATGAGTTGGTAATGCTCTGTAAGATAACACATGGGTGGATACAAAAAAGTGCTCTTTGTGTTGAAGGTTATTGCTAGGTTATGTTATTTTAGTAATTATTTTGTTGTATCCTAAGCTATTTCAGTTAAGTTCAAAATGAGTGAGCCAAAGAAGAGCAAAATTTATGATTTGGCATCAAAAGAAATAAAATTATTTTTATTATGATAAAAATAAATGGTGGTGTTTAATTTATATTTAGTGTATTTATGAAAGAGATAATTTGGAATGCTAATTACTGTGATATAAATAAATATAAGTTTATTTTGCGGCATAATTTTATTAGGGTAGCTTATTATTATAGAAGAACAGAGATGTGAAGTAGATCATTGATGCTTTTTTAACTCAGTGGAAAAACTGAGTGGCCACCTGGGGCCCATAAGCTCGCAAGATTCTTGATATTTCCATAACAAAATAGTACAGTATAAAATTATAAAATAATAACCATATATTTTTAAAACCAAAACTACAGTCGACCCCCCTATAACACGATAGATATGTTCCTCTTTTTATGAATCCAGCTTCTAGGAGTCCAGCCAATCACAGCCTGGCACATATGCAGTTTACGGACTACAGCTTTTTGAAAGGTTTCTTCCATAAAATTAATCGATTCTAGTCTAATTCGACTCAACATTTCCAAAATACGTATAATTTTTTGGGAATAATCCATATAAACTATGCTATAAACAAAAAATTGTAGGATTACTTACTGAGTGTGCACCGTTTGACTACACCATTTCTTAAGCTTGTTTTCATCGTGGAGATTGTCATTGAATGGCGTTCGCGTGCTTCCCAATAAATTATTTTTTTTTTTTGCGAAAAATTTGCTGAACTTTAAAGACATCATTAATATAAATATAATTTTTATGGATGTTAAATAATGATGGTTTTTGGTAGGTCCGCTGCTCATTTAAACTCAATGGTTTGTGCAATCCTGTCGTGACACTAGTCAGCGATGACGTTTTACCAAATTATAGGAGTTTTTTTTTTAGCATGTTTGTACGAATACTGTCGCAATTTTTTCGCCGTGATATAGGAATCCAAACTATAAGAACCCGTGTTATAGGGGGGTCAACTGTTTAACATTAATATTCATGTAGAAATAAAAGCAAATACCATATTAAAAAAATTAGAACATAAATTGAAAAAGTTATCAAATTAAATTAGTTTAACAAAATAGGAGCCCTTTCAAATTTTATCTGCCATGGTTTTAACTTATAAAGTCTGTAAGTTGGACAGATCTGCTATACAGTATTTTTAACATTATTATTATTATTACCAGTACTGTTATTACTACATAATATAAAATTTTCAAATAAAATGATTTGAATGATGATGATAATCTATCATGTTCAATGGTTAATACAATCAAATTCATTTCAAAAAGTTAATGTTTTTCTCTTAAATTTCAAATATTGATATGATAAAAAGTAATATTTTTTAGTATAAGACTAGCATCATTATCATAATACACAGATATGTAATTATATTAAAATTGTTTTTTAACTTGAAAGATATGAGACAAATTACATAACATAGAATATTGAGATATATATCAAAATACAAAATTCCATCTTGAGTAAAGGAATATTTATTTTTGATCATAAAATTAATTTTACAATTGTAAAGAGAATAAAACAAATTAAAATTCATTATGCAAAAAACAAAGTTAACAAAATCTTTTGTCTTTTTGTTCAGTGAAAGTAATGATAAATGCTCATTTGCATAAATCTATTACTGTAAATATTCAATTTCAATTTTAAGACTCATTTGTTAACTCTCAAAATTTAAGATTGACAGCAGAGGAAATAGTTTGAATTGCATGGAAAAAATCATTTTTGAATAATCATCCAAGAACATGACTTTCAGAAAGTGACTTTTTATAATGTGTGCTTAAGGTTTTAGATATTGAAATGTGTTTGTTCTTTTCATTTAATATGGAGACAATATTATAAATATAAAAAATAATTCAAATTTATTTATGTAAATATTTCACTGTTTTAAAAGTTAAATTTATAATCAATTATCATTTCTTTTTAAAAAAGTTTTTACAAAGAGCATTTGAAGTTTTTATATTCTTATAAAGATTTCACAGTTGAAAAGATTTGGTATCATATCTTAATAAAAATATAAATCAGTATAAAAGAATAATTTTTTATTTCATAATTTAATAAAATTCAAAGACTTATTATCATTTACAATAAATTTTTTGCTTATGTTTGTAATTTAGCTGCTATTATTATTTATGCAATGGCCAACAAGATAACTGTAGTCCTTGGGCCCAACCAAAATCTACAACAAAATTTTAAATATAAAGTCTGCAAAATCAATGTATATAATTTCAGTTGCATAAAGGGAGAAAAAAGAAATGTAAAAATCAAGAGCATCATCTCAGAACAAGATATAGAGAGGCCTAAGAGACCCTAGCTTTGTGATGTGATTACTTCCACAAAAACATAATTGTTTCTATGAAAATCTAGTTACTTGTAAAAACACTGATTCTGTTCATATGTAAATGTGAAAAATATTACATTCAATTGAACATTAATTATAAACACAGTATATTTTGATTTTAAGTATATCACTTCAGATCACTCTGGAGACAAAATTGTTAATGGTAATTTAATTAAATTTTGTGAGCACATTTATCTTGATATATGAACACTATGAACAGAATTTCAAAAATAGTTAAAACTTTCATTACAAGGGGTCTTTAACAGCACTACTGCTGTAGCAATTTAAAAGAAACTGTTCAACATGCTTTCCATCACTCTCAGTAACATATAGCAGTCGAGTTATCAAATTAGCAACAGCCAAGTGCAGCTTGTCAGAACTAATGAGAATCACTTCTTTTTCAATTCATTTCTTTAGTTCTGATTATCCTGTAACCCCATGTGTATAAACCCTACTTTTCAAATAGTCCCATAACCAGAAGTCAAAAGGTATGAGATTGGGTGAACAAGTTGGACATTGCATCAGAAAAGACTGGCTAATCCCCTTTCATTGCCAAACATATAGACAGTATGTTTCAGTAGTAGTTAGTAACTGCAGTGTATGGTCTTGCACAATCTTGCATTAGCATAATGTTACTCAAACATCCTTTTTGCTGTAGTTTAAGGATGGCAAAAGTTTGACTCACTGTTTGTGAGTTACAGATCACTGCTGTTATGTGACACTGTTGTGACAGTAGTGCCATTTTAGACATATAGATCCCTAGTGGTAAAAATTGTAATTATTTTTGAAACTGTAGTTTTTCCATGTTGAGTTAAACATAGAAAAACTACCCTGGTTAAACATACCTATAAAATTTTATCAATCCATCTCTAATAGCTTTGCCTCAAGAGTAGTATAAAACAGTATACTTTAATTACAGACATCTGTAGATAGATAGCATTTGTAATCAATATGAAAATGATCTAGAGCAGTCCTGATCAACTTATAGCAGGATGTGATTGATTCTTTTAACTCTTGAAAGTCAATCATCACATCTCTGTTCTATAAAAGAATAGGGACCATTGACACAAGAGCAATTCTTTGTATCCATCACATTATTTTATGGAAAGTTACTAATGCATAACAAATAATTAAGAGATTTCTCAGTTAAAAATATGGATTTAATATTCCTATTAAAATTACATGGTTTTTGATGGGACTTAATGGGTTATACTTTCTGCATTGACCAAAAATAATACACCAATCAACTAGTTGGTTGGTTACCCCTGATCTAGAGTTATCTGAGATTTTTTTAATTTATTGTTAAATAAGACTTTTTACAGATAATAAAAGAAGAGCTATAATTATTATTATTATCAATAATGATGATAATCAATTTTCATTAAAATTTATTTAGGCTAAAAGCTCATCAAAGGCTTCATACTGGTAAAACTTTCAACTGTTCTCAAGAAGGTTGTCTCAAGTTTTTTACAACTCTTAGTGATTTAAGAAAGCATAATCGTACTCATACAGGAGAGAAACCATTCAGGTATCTTATTTTCCAAAAAAATCTTTTTGTTTAAAAATTGTTTTACTACAGCAATTTTTATTTCAAGATGTGAAGAAAATGGATGTGGTAAATCATTTGCAGCAAATCATCATCTAAAAACTCACATAAGAACTCATACAGGTATTATTTCTCATCTGAAACATTTTGAATTGTGAAAATATGAAGTTTATCAATTGATTAAACAGTGTCTTAATTATAGGTGAAAAACCTTATTCATGTACACAGGGTGGATGCCAAAAATCATTTTCTACACAATATAGTTTAAAAACACATATGAATAAACATGATAGACTTCAAGATTCAAATGAGGTAAACTATTTCAAATGAAATTTATATATCAAATGATTATTTAATAAATAATAACAACACTGATGTTTTGTGCTTTACAGACAGAAATTAGTAAAGAAAGTCCTCTTACTACAGAAGAACTTAGCACAAGTGCACAAGTTTTACTATCTTCTATGTGCAACAACAAAACAAAGAGTGACACTTCACAATCAATGATAAATATCCCTCTCTCAGCTCTCAATGTAGATGCAACTGTTTCAGAAGGAGTAACAGGTGAATTTAACATTTAGTCTTTAAACATTGTTGTAATATTTTAATTTTTATATCATCTCTCATATCACATGAAGTCAGCAACATGAAACATAATAGTGTCATTCTATTGCACCTCATTATATCACACTTTTCTTTCAAATATAACTTTATCCAATAATTTTAAAAAATTAGTTACCATTGAGTTTCTATTTGCAAAGAAATTACCTTATTCCAATCACAGATGTTGAAAATACCATTGTAAGAAATACAGGGTGTCAAATAAGTCACTGACAACTTTGATTGAGGATAACTTTTTAACTACCCATCTGAGGGGGCTGATATCTCACAGCCACCATCTTGTAAACAAAGATAATTGTTTAGTGCTGACATGCCAATTTTTAAAAAAATTTAAAAATGATCAAATATTTACTGAATTAATGCATTTTTTGGTTAAATATTGGGACAAATGTGATGAAAACCCACTGTGCTACTACAGACATGATCAACAACTTTCAAAAACAAGTCAAATTCAACGAGAGGTGTGGTTACCAATTTAATTGAGAAATTTAAGAGAACAGGCAGCATAAAGGATGATGATGAGGCCAGGACAGGCAGACCATGATCGTTGAGGTCAGAGGGGAATATCAAGGCAGCAAGAGCCATAGTTGATGAAGATCCAAACACATTTCAGGCCAAGGATGATAACTGAAGGGTTCTCAGAGAGCAGCAGAGGAGGAATTTCGTGGCCACCTTATTCCCCTAACCTCAATCCCATGGATTTTTTCCTCTGGGGCTATCTCAAGGATAAGCCCCAGAGGAAAAAATTTGAGCTGTTCAAAGTTGGCAATGGAACTCATTGCCAACTTTGAACAGCTCAAATTTGTTATCAAAGCCAAGATTAGAGACATTGCTGATGAAGTTCTGGCAAATGTGGTTGCTGGTTTTGAGCATCAATTATGGTCCTGTATTGTCCGCAAAGGAGAGCACTTCAAAAACCTCATCTACTAGTTATTTTTAGTCTCAATAGTATTCTCACCAAGTTTCATGTCAATGCAACAAATTTCGGATTTTTTATCTCCAATCAAAATTGTTAGTGACTTATTTGACACCCTATACAATCCACAAAAAAGCATGTCAGGATGAGATCAAAAATAGTCAAAGCAGATGGATAGATACATTGGTTATAAGGTGCCGTCTGATATGTTGCTCATTTGTGATATAGCTAATTTTATCACAATTACAATAGCCCTTTTGTTAATTCATATCTGTACACTGAAATATGAAAATGAATTTTATTCTTAGAAACAACTTTAAATGAACTCTTAAGGATTGAAAACAATAAAGCCATATCATCATTTGGATCATAATTTATTAAAATTTGGAAATTAAAGAAATCAAGTATTTATATTAAATTTTTAAAATATTTGTGCACCTCAAAACAGAATTTTTAACAGAAACAAAATTTTTGATCTCTTGATATTGTGTTTATGATGATGATAAAAGATTATCTTTGTTTAGTATCAATCTGTGGAACTTCTGTTTTAATTGATAAACACTAAACACAAAAAGGACAAGGGCATTAGGCTGCTTTTATGCAGATGCAAGAAGAGGGAAAACAAGTGAAAGAGAACTTTTGGAATCATAAATTGCACTCATGATGCAGTTTATGCAGAAGAGAGAAGTGAGCAGAATGCTGGCAATCTGTTGAACATGAAGAAACATATCGTTCCTTTTTATTTATGACCTCTATATGTTAAAGAAAAATAAAATGAAAAATTAAACTACTCTGATAACTTTACTCCATTATAAAATTCAACAGACTATTCCTTCCAGCTTTAGCTTGAACACAACTAGAGGGAAAACAAGGAGAAAGCTTCTGTAGGCATATGATCTTGGTTTGCTTGGTATTTCCATCTTTTGCATTTCTCACTTCTGCATAAATTCAGCCTAAGGATTTTATAAGTTAATAGATGATACATTATTCAATGCAATAGTTTACAAATGTTTTTATATTTATCTTTTCCTTTGAAATATTATGAAACATCCAAATACAGAAATTATTTATTACAGATTATATTTTAGTAAATTAATATTTCAAACATTAATAAATTCCTTGATTTTATTTTAATGGTTTTATTTTTCAGCATATGCATTGATTCCATTGGGAAATGTTAATCTAGTAAAACCATCAAATGGTTTAGAAGAAGTACAGTCAAATAATTCATCTATGACTAGATTATTTTTACCACCGAATGTAACTTTTAATGCTTCTCAGTTAGAAAACATGAATAGTGTTCAACTAGTACCAGCTACAAACTTTATAGATAGCATTGACAATTCCCAAATTACTTCTAACATCCAACAGCTGGAAATAAATCAGTTAACAGCTTCTGAAAGCCAGAACAACCAGGAGAAAGACAATGTAGACATCATCAGTGCTTCAGTAATCGAAGCAGAAATCTGTAAATGTGAACCATCTGCTTGTCAAAAAGATGGAAAGGGATGTTGTTCGGGATGCCCCTCCGAAAATGATTGTGTGGAAGGAATTCCACTAAATGTGGAAAATTCGGGCAATTACGACAAAATTCAACAAACTGTCTCTTCATTTCCAGGATATATCACAAATATTTTAGATGTTCCTGGAAGTCAGGTGCTTGCTTCTCTGGATGAAGATATCTGTAATTCCAATGAAGATATTTTAAATCAAGAATTGCTGTTTGAAGCTTGAATGTGCTTTTCTTTCCACAAAATTTAAGTTGAATTTTTGTATAATTTTTTTTCATTTAATAGCTTAGTTTTATTCAAATAAAGAAACATTTTGTATTTAACTAACATAAGATCATGCATGTTTAACAAAATATTAACACATTTGTTGATGAGAAAGAGCCAATTCACAATCTAAATATAAAATTCCAAAAGGAATAAGCTTATGTAAAATGTAAAATTTACATAATTACATGTATAAGTTAGTTTGTAAGATGATGGCTCTATTCAAGTTAATACAAAAAAGAAAAAAAAAAGAAAAACCGTCCAGTATTTGATTTTTGTAAGTCATTACAAAAGCTAAATGTTCTACCAAGTAGCTTATTGTTTATTTGAAAAATAATGCAATATATATATATATACATACATACAAGAGGATGCTCTATAAACTTGCAAGGAGTGATTACAGAACTAAATTTTAGAATAAATCATGGTTTAAATTCACCTCTGTCCAGATTATGACCATAGCTTTTGAAATGGCTGATGAGAGTTTGATGATTAACAACAGTTATTTGTTTGCATAAAGGAAAGATTAAATGACTGAGGCTTAACCTGTGATTTAGGCTAGACTTTGTTTCTGCAATTGTTCTAAACAGTTTTAAATTTTTAACAATTTCTAAAGGAGAAATTTAAAAATGTTATGGAAAAGGTTATCCTCAAATTATGCTGAGAGCACAATTTTATCCAAATTTTTTTCAAAAGAAATTTTGCCAAATGTCTTATATTTATAAGTATTTTGAACATGCTAGAATAGTCATATACCATGTTTTCTTGATTCTGATATGCCATTTGCCATTGAATTGAATATGCATCCAAGTTTTGACATACTTGAAAAAAGTTATAGGGCATGCATTACATTTGCAAGTTATCAAAAACACAGTTGGAAAAAGTTAATGCTTCATGATGTCCACATTTTTGGATGTATTCATTTATGACTCCCTTATCAAGTACAGAAATTTAGTATATAAAAATATTTTTACACACTAAATTTGATGTAGACATTAAGAAATCAAGTCAAAAATTATCATACAATCAACATTTTAATATTTTGTGTTGGTATGCACAAACAAAATTTATCTGATATGTACAGTATATAGCATCACATTGAAATATTGTGTACATGTTTTTGGCATGGTGGAAAACTCAGCTTAAATACAGCTTTTTAAGCAATTTGTCTGCTAGACATCATTCACTCAGCTTGCTACACTTCAAAAGACCAAAACTATTCCAAAACCAAAATTAAAACTGAAGTAGTGGGAGAGATATATATTACAATGTCAATGTAGATGTGATATACATGAATTGCCAAGCAGAGTGAAGAGCAAATGACACTGCATTAAATCAACTTTGTGCCCAATTCTAATGCACCCTTCAATCTTTTGAGACCGAGAAAAATGTAAAAAAGATGCAGATAGAATTGAGAAAGCATGGTATTATAGTAACATTTTATACAGATGAAAACTTATGTGGCAATTTGAAAATTATGTTGATGTCATTTTTCAGCAAAGTATTATGAGATTTTTTTGTCTAATGAGAAATTACTCTCCATATCCAATTATTGTTCTTCCATGTTAATATTAGTATATGAATATATCTGTGATAATAAATTAGTTTTGTCAATATTTGAAATGACTAGTTTTGTCTCTCTATATCCATATATATATACAAACATACATACATACGCACATATATATGCACGTATATATGTGCATATATTGATCCATATATGCATCAATAATTTTTTTAATTTTATTTTAACCAGGTGATGATAAAGTAGATATTCTTTAAAATACATATAGTAAAAAGGAATTAATAGTTTTAAGAAACAATATATTTCTTAGATTATTCCTGAAATTACAACTATTAACTGTGAAACATTCTGTACCATATATATGAGGTATAAATCTATCTTGAAAAATAAAAAAAAAAAATTAAAAGATTGTGTGAAGTAGACTCAATTTGCAACTATTGTGCAACTACACAAATGATGATTTGATCAATAGCCAATTAATTGGTCACAAACTAGCTAGTCTGTTGCATATACTCAGAGATTGTTTTTGATTAGCGTTTTTGACAGAGAAATCAATTTACTTGTTCCAAAATTAGGAGTTGAACCTTAAAACTTTTAAATAGACAATTCCTTTACTGCTGAAAAAAAATTACTTTTTTGATATTTAAAAGAAATATTTTTTACACACTAAATTTTTGCAACGTCTTCAGCAAAGCATAAAACCTTTGATAGTGTTTAAACTTGCATGGTATATTTATGTTCAACAATGTTTTTCTCACAAAGAAATGTTTTGGAATGCATAAGAATGTGGAAAAATATAATTTAAAAGATAAAATTTGATAATATCATATCTTCAAATAATTTTTATATTTACTTGACTACAAGACACATCTTAATTTTTACGTATGTAGTTTTTGTTTCAACCTCCAATCATGCAGGTAAACAGCCAGTCAAATGGAAAGAGGTGGGTGTGCACAGAGGGCAATTGTGCATCTCCACTATAGCCACTGCCACTTCCAACATCATTACACATCATTATGAGCTTAGTTGCAGGCATGTAAACATAGTTATTATGGTTGACTCTCTTGTCAAGTGCGAGCTGTGCAATGTAATTCAGTTTCTTCAAGAAGAAAGGAATAGTGCTGTGGAAATTCATTGAAGAATGAGCCAGGTAAATGGTGAAAACTTTGAGTGATGGTGTTGGAAATTTAAGGAAGGCCGAACTGATGTTCACAATGAAGGAGGATAAGAATGGAAGTCTGTCACATCAGAAGACATTGTTCAACAAGTTGACCAAGTGATTCAAAAAAAAAAAAAAAAAAAAACGGAGGTTTACCATAAGTGACTTGTGTGTGGAATTTCCTGAAGTTTCAAGATCATCTGTTTACATGATCGTAACAGATCAGCTATACTACAAAAAAATGTGCACTTGATCGGTTCCAAAGATGTTGTCTGACGACCACACGAGTCACCAAATGGCAGCAGTGCTGATGTTCCTCATCCGTTATGAGGCTGAAGGTGACCAATTTTTGACATCAATTCTGACTGGAGATGAGACTTGGATTCATAGGTCATCCCCAAAACAAAACAACAGTCACAACAATGGATTCACTCAAACTCACCAAACAAACTGAAAAAGTTTAAACCAACCTACAACAACAGGAAGGTTATGGCTACTGTGTTTTGGGAACAAAAGGTGTGTTGTTTGATGAGTTTATAGAACTGGTCACTACAATTAATACAGCTGTTTATTGCAAGACTTTACGATGACTGCAGAGAGCCATTCAGAACAAAAGAAGAATGCCGACTCCTAGAGTTCTGATTCATGACAATGCATGACCTCACAGTGCTGCTTGTGAGGTCAGGCATTGTCATGAATCAGAACAATAATGATGATCTTCAAAACAATGTTAAGGCCATCTCGAATCACTAGTGGGAACATTCTATGAAGAGGGGATTTGCAAAGCTTGTCCACAGATATGACAAATGCCTCAATCTTCACAATGATTATGTTGAAAAGTAACCATGTTTGTACCTAACTTTTGATGATAAATTCATTTTGTTATTTACACTTGTCTTTGTTTTATGGACCATTGGAGGTTGAAACAAAAACTGCCCTTATATATGCTCACTCAAGGATTTTTATTTCATTTGAAAAAAAAAGACAACTTGAGACAAATTTATTGAACAGTAAAGTCAGTTAAGGTATCATTGTCTTTGGTATCAAAGTCAGGAACCTCTTCACTTTTGTGTCAATACCCTTCTAAATCAATACTGGACTTGATGCTCACGTCTTTCCACATGCTATTGCCATTGATGTCATTTGAAGCAATGGAAAGGAGACCTTTTTTGAAAGCGTGCTGCACTTTTTCTGGAATTTTCATCCAATTACTTATGACATTATTTAGTGAACTAATGAGATTGAGCTAAGTTGACCTATCAAATATTTAATATGAATAGTGGTCTAATAAAATCATTAAATTAATGATGAAATAGAATTGGTGACTAAAAAAATAAGATGCATGGGAGTAGAGATTGCTAATTATGACATATTACATTGAATCTAAGATGTACCCATTTTCAGAGATGATAAATCTGAAAAAAAAGTGTCTTATATTTGAGTATATATGATATGTATTTACTCAAACATTATAATTTAAAATTCATATTTTCAAATAAAACTTCAGAAAAAGTATCAAATTATTTAAAACAGAAATAATTCTTTCTAAGGAATAATATTGAATATGTTTTTGTCTTTTTGATTATGTCTTTGTCTTTAATTTGATTTTGGGTACCAAATGATGTTTAAATAGCATTAGGATATTCAATGTTCTTCATAAGAACAGGTCTTAAATCACTAAATGTCCTAAAGGGTGTTGCTAGGACACAGTTTTTTAAAGTAATGTGGCTGAATTTGATTCATCAAAACAATCCAATAATCAAATAAAAGCTTATGTTCTAGGCTGTATACACTTGTACTTGAAAACACAAGTGAAACTGAATTATACAACCTCTTATTTTTATACTTTCAGTGTGGCATAAATCAAGAGTGAAAACAAATTTGAAAAACTTCAACTTTTTTATTTCTGCTCAGTTTTTCAGTTCCAATTTAACCAGTGACATCAGCATTTTAAGTCATTTCATTGACCTAATTCTCAACAGACGCATTTTTGAGTGTTTACAAAAGAAAATTTTGTGATTTAAGAGATTACTTTTAAGTGACAATAATTTTCTATTTTGAAATATTTTCTCACAGTTGCCAAAATTAATCTGTTTTATTTTCAGATAGCGTAAAGCTTAGCTGAAACATAATCACTTAATCTTTTTAGTGTGCATTATAATTTTTATTTTCAGGCAGTATGGATCCTCCCAGACCTTTAATTGTTATACCACTTTACTCAATTTTTGCAAAACTTAATCTTGAAAAAATTGAAAATCAGGCACAATCTTGATTTTTTTCTGTCTTCTCAGGTAATAAATCTCTTCCAAAACTATGACCATATATTGTGGAACAACCTGTCTACAAGTCAAAATCAGTATTAAAATTGTAATCAAAATATTGCCGGAAAAATCTGACAAGATTAGATTGCTTATTGGATTAAAAGTTACATTTTTTGAACTTATATTATAGAATTTATATTATTTGAACTTATATAACTTAATAATGTTAATATAAGTTATTATTAACTTGAAAAAGTTATATATTAATATGAAGCCAATAAATTTTGGCTTCATATTATTATTAATTGAAAATAAGCAAATTGTAATAAAAAATTTAAATAATTAAAACCTCCAATAATGGCCCACTCCATTTTTTCAAAAATTTATTAAACAAAAATGCATACAAAATATGTATTAAACAATGGACATTTTTTATGTTCTTTCAGTGGTGGTTCTGATTAATATCATAATTTATGTCATTTAAATTTTCCTTATTTATTTATTGAGTTACTCTTAAAAAAATAATAATATAATTTTTGAAATGAATTTTTAATAAAGGTGTTTTATTAAAATCTTGATTATAAATTGACAAGAAAAATGATTTGTTAAAACCATGATGAATAAATTATATCAAATATTCCAAATTATACTAAATTTTAAACATTTAAATTTTTATAACAATTATCACAATTTTAAAAAATGTGGAAATTTTTCTAATACTCTATTTCAGAGTATTAGAAAAATTTCCATATTTTTTCAGCTCTAAAGAAAACTTATATATAATATTCTTAAATTAATATTTATTTCAGCTAGAGAAAATGTAAAAAGTTGACATAAAATAACTAAATATTCTTTTAAGCAACATTGTACAATTTTCAGCTCCTTTTTTTCTCTTAGATGTAAGATTGATCATTTTTGCATTTATACCAGTTTTGTAAATATTTTCATCCATGTACTTTCAATGATTACATGTTACAGTGGAACCCCGGTTAACGAATGTAATCCGTTCCACAAGTCCGTTCGTTAACTGAATTGTTCGTTAACCGAAGCAATTTTTCCCATTTAAATTAATGCAAATGCAATTAATCCGTTCTAGCCATCAGTATTTTTGTAATTTTATTTGTAAAATGGGTTTTCTTTAATGAAAATATAGGAAAACGTGCTCATAAACAGTCGATTTAGGTTAAATTTTCGGAAAAGGGAAAAGATTTGACTGGTATAAAAACATCACACACGATCGTTAAAGTTTAAAATGACAGATAGCAGAAACAACAGGCTAAATTGTGAGCAAAAGGCTTATAGGTTTATCGACAATCTCTGATCAGAGTCGACGAATAGGTGTCAAATAAATGCCTCGGAACAAACCTTTCTCGTGACCTGATCTGGTTTTGGTTTTGGAGACAAAGAAGAAAACAATCGGGAAGCGAGGAATGGGACGCAGGACTAATCGTAAGGAGACAAAGAGGAAAAAATACTATAAAAACCCCGAATCTCAAGGTCAAAACGCAGTTTTCCTAAAAATTCTATGGTGATTAATCTGTGTCGTCTTTATCTGGATTAAGCCTGAAGTCTTGCCCGCTAAAATTTGTGTTGTGTTTTGCGGACCGCTCCAGTCGTTGCAGCTCTGTCACCTACCATCGCTTCTGTGACCAAGCGAACCCATCTCTTCCGCTCTGGGGCTATGACTGATCAGCTTGCACTATCGTAGGACCAGTGATACGCCACTCCTCAGTGCCAAGAGAAAATACTGTAGATAAGCCATTTTCAACTGCCTCAAATATGTAAGCATCTTCCCGTTCTAATCAACGATTTTCACTGTAAAATACTTGTCATCTTTGTCTCCTCCGCCACCACCAACGTACGAATGGACCCTAGACCATCACCGACACACGATTAACTGATTTTCCCTAAAAGTCGGTAAGCTTACAAATTTGACACAAAAAACCGTGAAGTTCGTAATCCGAATTTTGTTCGTTATCCGAGACAAAATTTTTGCAAAATAATAGTTCGTTAAGTGATTTGGTCGTTAACCAGGACGTTCGTTAACCGGGGTTCCACTGTATCTACTTCTGCTTGGAATTCGAAAGTGGTTAAAGATTACTAAAGTAGTTGAAAATGTATGCAATAAGTATCATTAAACTTACAATTTTTTGTTTTCTACTCATTAAAAAGCCAGTTAAAAACTTTCATTAAGAGTATTAACTTAATATCACATTAAAAAATCATATAATTTTTTCATAATGGCTATAAACTTTGTATTTTGTATACTTTGTTATCTTTACTGAAGTAAGTTTGCATATTTATAATTTCATATTAAACATTAAAATGAAAGAACTTTAACCAGATTTTACTATTAATCTCTATTAAATTGATATTTTGTAACTTCATGGCTAATTAAATACAAAGTGAATCAGGAATGTGTCTACACATTTTATCTAATAGTGTGCTGACACTGATTTACCAGGAACTAGTAAATGGCATTTGAAGAAGTCACCTTGAAGCTTACTTTCTAAGAGTCATGCCTGAGTTATGTCAACAGTGTCTACATCAGTATCAAAGATGGCACTGAGCCTACAGTACCAAGTTACAGTATGGTCAATTGCTATAAAAATGACTGGGTGATATTGGCAAAATATGATTTCAATATTACTTTCAACACTTTGCTTGCAAATGTCACTATTCCATTCCCAGTAAATCAAATAGTGTCAAAACATTATGACCCACCTTTCTGACTCATCTTGTAGATAAATGGAAAGAAATGAAATATCTTCACCAATTCCTTTTCATTGTCAAAATTTTTTAAATTTAAAGTCTTATAATTGTGTTGTAAATAATTTTATTGACTTTTTAGATTTTATTTCTACTTTGTACAAAATGTAATATTAAAGCTCCATTTTAGATAAATTAATAAATATTTTTTAATTTTTCCATATACCACCATTATGTAAATTTATATTTATACTAGCTGCAAGGACCCGCTTCGCTGGGTTTTTATTTGTATGTAATATAGTTTTTTTTTTATATATAAAAGACTGTTTTTCTAAGTAATCTAGAATCTAGCTGCAAGGACCCGCTTCGCTGGGCAAAAAGTAACGATAGTGAAGATTAAGATACAGGTAACCCCCGTATAACACGGCACTTCTATAGCACGGATTCGCTCTAACACGGTTCGAGAATTGGTACCATCCCCCGTATAACACGGTACTTTTATAGCACGGATTCACTCTGACACGGTTCGAGAATTGGGTAAAACCCTCGTACAACAGGAAATGTAATAAATTTTTACATACTTAAGTAATAATAGTTCACGAAAATTATTATTTTCGTGAACTATTAGTACTTAAGTATGTAAATTTTCTCTTCTCGCCTTCTGTCGATACACGTGGTCCTTCTCGAAACTTGTTTCAATGTTGCCAGATCGCGACGCTTCTGCTTCTGATGTTGCCGAATGTTTTTCCCTTATTCCATACTTGCTTTATTCTTCATAAGTGCTTAGCACCATATAAGGAAATTTATAAAGACCTTTTAACTAGAAGCAAGCAATCTAAAATTACATACATTTTGCAAAAGGTAAAGCATGGATCTGAAGATAATGCAGAAAAATGCTCAGAGGATAAGGATAACTTGCCAAAAAGAAAACGCTCTTGGTTAATTAATAGTGTTTTTAGTGATGACAAAGAAAACATTGTTTAATTTATATTAATATGTATCACTTAAAAAAAATTTTAATGAAGATATTTATCTTAATTATGAAAATATATTAGCATGTTTTTTAATTTTTGGAACCTAACCCTCCTTTTCGTATTAGTTCTTTGTTTCGTATAACACGGATTCGCATAACACGGCAATTTTTTGGAACGTAACTACCGTGTTATATGGGGGTTACCTGTAATTATATCATTATAGTCAATCTTACCCGTTTTCACAGAATGCAAGAATTAGGTCCCCCGTTTCCAGACTAATTAGAGAATTTTTACGTCCAGTCAAACGAACTATTTTCAACGTTTCTGGAACGTTTACAATGGTTCTATAATCCAACCAATATTTGAATTTTATGTTCGAATTTAATTCGAATATTGTTCGAATTAAATTCGAATTTGAATGTTATGTTCGAATTTAATTCGAATATTGTTCGAATTAAATTCGAACATAACATTCAAAATAGAAAACCACTTTCAACCACTTTCAGCCCCATATCTCCCACACCCTTATAGCTATCAAGACGCAACCACCATAGTGCACGAATGAGACTTGGGGCTACTACCATATACAAACACCATTCACGTGTGATGTGTAGTTTTGGCGGAAAAGTGAAATATAGGGACATACAAGTCCATTTTTATATATATATAGATAAATATAAATTTACATAATGGTGACTTTGCTTAGATTAAATGTAATGTAAAAAAATACAATAAATTTAATATTTTATGTAAAATTTGTATAAAACAATACAATTACATAAAATGAAACTAAGATAAGGATGAAAAAAAAATGTTTTGAGCCAAATAAAGCAACCAAATTTATGAAATCTAAATATTCTTATATTTATATAAATAGATTAAATTATAAAAATCTACATTTTTAAAATAATAATGCATGTTTTTTGAATGAAATATTTTTAAATGAATAAAATGTAGACACTGAAAAGGTAAGCATAGATTTATATTTATTAAAGAAATAAAAATATTTTTCATTATTATGCATTGTGCATTATAATTAAATATTTCATATTTAAAATATAAACATAAAAAATGACTTAAAGAATAATAAATTGGTCTATTATTTAGCTTTTTCTCCATAACACAGCACCCATGTTTGATCTTTGTTTTGTGCTCTTAATATTTTGGCATTCCAACCGTCATTTAAGTATTTAAAATCCTCTTCTGTAAACTCCTACAAGATGAAGCGTAATACCATTAGAATATAAAATTCATAATTGAAACAGTAATAATATTTAATTGTATAATACCAAAAGAAAATTTTCTTTTTCTGAATGTAGTTTTTTCAATTCATTTTTCAATGCTTGAAGGAACTCTTCTGTTCCATCTTTACAATTAACATTTATGAATCCAACATCATTCAACAACTGTAAATAATTATTTTAATTACATAAAACCACAAAGGAATAGCTGTTTTCATTATTAAAAACATACCTTTGCAAATCATTACATAATTATATATATTATAACTAAAGGATATAAAATTACATAATAAATAAATAATATCTAAATAAAGTCAATAATACAATTATTTTATGATTTATGACTAAGATTCCTAAATTAATATTCTAATAAAGTTTAACTTCTAAATGTGAATAATTGTAGTTTTTAAGAATTATGTATTCCCTTTTCATAATCTGTGTAAATTAAATTACAGTTGACAAGTTATAAGACACATTATTAGTAATAATCAATTTAAAAGTTATTTATATTTTCTCAAAAACAAGAAATATATACAGGGTGTCTGAAAAGTTACAATGCAATGGAAAAAGTTTAAGTAAAGTTTTATTAAAAGTAAAATTTTGCATACTATATTGCAGTTTCTCCTACAACAAAAACTGGAAATATCCCCAGAGGCTCCAAAATCTGGGCAAGTAGTCTGGAGATCTAGTAGACCAGATTCCACAGGAGATTATGTGATCAACAAAGAAGTTTTTCAAGAAAAGGTTATAAACCAGAACATTCGTGAGTAAGCAGTAATGCCATCTACCATAAAATGGAAACACTGGACATACTTACACATCTCATATGCAATGCCATATCTATAACTTTATAGTCATTATCAGTCATTAAATTTTTCACTGCACAGTAACTTTTCAGACACCATGTATTACACAATGTAATTGTGTAATAAATGGTGTCTGAAAAGTTACTGTGCAGAGCCATTAAGATCAGAGGCCGAAATGCATTTTAGGACAAATATAAGGCAATAAAGGTTTCAAATCATATGATAGTACATAATTTTATTGAAGAGTTATGTATTTTTATAAAGTAAATATTTTAAAGAAAATTTAATTTAATACAATAATCATTTAATAAAATAAGCATCTTTTTAACTTTGTTATTCTATGTAGTATTGTCTGAAGGAGGATTTTTATTAATTAATAACTTTTACTGGTATTTTAATATAAAAATGATCATAAGTGTTAAATAAATATAATTAAAACGTTCATCTGTTTTATTGAATTACATGTTAGAAAACAGTAAGTAATATCAAAGTTTAATAATAAATTATTATTAATTTTCTTTCTCATTTTAGAAAGAAAATTATACTCACTCTTATTATACTTTAAATTTGATATTACCTTTTCATATTCTTCAAGAGTAAGTAAGTGGTAACCTCTTTGTTTAATATATTCTTTAAATTCTTCGGTATGTTCTTTATTTCCACGAGAGTAATCAGAAAATAAGATCCTACCACCAGGTTTTAACCATTTCTAATTAAAAGATAAACCAATAAGTAAAAAGAAATTTAATTTTGTTTTTGGACGTGGCTATTTATACATACAGTACGTGTACACAATTGACTATTTATACATATAGTATGTATATTCAATTGGCTATTTATACATATTTACTGTATGTTCTTATATTCCGGCCAGATACTGACTGTATGCACTATTATTACAATTAATATTTTGATAATAACTACAAATTATAAATAATTATAGTTTTATTTATTAAAGTTCACTTACAATGTTGTTCAATAAAGTAATCAATAAATTATGAAGTATCATTAAATCAGTGAAATATAGGTAATGAAATTTAAAGTAGATTGGTAGATATTCCAATAAAGTGAAATAAATATATTATTTTTTATTCAGTATTTTAATTTTTTTTTTGTAAAAAGTGGTTTGCTTAGTCTTTTTCTTTGGATGTTCTTTGGATTTAATTTTAGTTTCGAATTTTAAGTTTTTATTTGATTGATTTGAACAGGGCTCGTTATTAGGCCAAATTTGTTCTTCAGGTTCTTCTGGTTCAATTGTACTAAGCCCACTACTTTCATATTCAAAAAGAGAAATTCCATTTCTTGCATTGTTTTCTATTACTTTTAATTCCTCTACATATTTATTGAAGGTTTGCGTTCCATAATTAGACAAAATATCTGCAATATTTTTAGTTATTGCCAGTGCTGTATTAAATTTTTCCCTATCTGATAATATTTTGTTGGGACAATCAAAATCATCAGTAAAAGTTTCAACTTCAATATGATCATCAACGTCTACATTTACATCATCTGTATCCATACTTAGAGCATTTTCTATAGAAATAATATATCTTGCATAAAAGCAATTTTTGAAAATATGTCCAAATTATTATATTTTCTTATCATAGGAATATGACAACATGGTGCACTAAAAGAATTCCAAAATGAACAAGAACATGTTTCCACAAATGTATTATAAAATTTTGATATTTTGCTATCAATATTTCCCTCAATACCATTATTTTTAATTCACATTTCTTGATAATCGATATCATAATTAGGATATCAATAATCAAAATTTAGGATATCCTAAATTATAAATAACATTAAAATTGTCATCTTTACATCATGGCTTTAAAAATATTAAATAGCCAATTGCATATACATATCATATGTATAAATATCCAATTTGTTAAAATTTAACATACTTACCAGAAACTTCTGAAATAATTCATATTTATTTTCAATGTGGAGTAAAGTATCCCTACTATAAATTGCATCAAATGTATTTGGTTCAAACTCAGCCTGAGTAATATCACATATTTCAAAGTGTATCTAAAAAACAAAAATTAGGAAAATTGTGATTAAAATATTAAATTACCAGTATACATTTATACAAGATATTCCATCCAAATAAACTTTAGATAGTTAAACTAAAATAGATATTGGTCAGAAAAGTCTGTCCAATATCTATTTGTGTTTTGACCTTATCCAATAAACAAAATCTGGATACGCAATGTGATGTCCCTGCAGATGATGGCAGACCAAAATGAACAATGGGAGTAAATGTTGTGATATGTAGCAAATCCAATGGTGACCATAAAGTTGACCTTGTGGGGCATTTTCAAGGTCACTCAAAAATATTTTTTTAAATTTGTCATGTAGTGAAACAGTTTTGTTTGTTTTGTTTGAATTGGAACATTGCAGGTGCTTCACTGCAAGACATCAACAAAATTTTGCTCATGTTTTTGGATTTGTTTTTTCCTTTTATCTTCACATTTATGTTCAAACAAAAGTAGATTCTTATCAATTTTTTTATGGCCTAAAACTTTCTAATTTACAGTTTGGTCTTGGATGCATAGTTTTAAAGATATTTTTGAATGATGTTGAAAATGCCCTTCAAAGTCAACTTTATGGTCACCATTGGATTTGCCACATATCACAACATTTACTCCCATTGTTCATTTTGGCCTGCCATCATCCATAGAGACATCACATTATGTGTATCTAGACTTTTGGAACTGCCCGTATGTGTATGTTCAATATAATATTTTATACAACAAGTATGTATTCAATAAGCATTATAGTATAGTAAACACTTTTGCCATTTTTAAAAAACAAGTTTGAGAAAAAATTTTCAATGATTTCAAAATTACATAATTAATTTAAAATGCTGTTATAAATGCTCATTTTGGTTATTATTATTTAATAATAAGCAAGTTAGTTTAATTATAAAGAGTATATGTTGTAATAAGAAGTTAGATAGAATGTTTATGTTCAAGTGATAAATAGATAAAAGTGTACTAATAATAAAGGAGTGGCACTTCAAAAATTGATTATCTCCTATATATCAATTGGAAATGCTTACATGAAGACATCAAAGAAATAAATGAATTACCGACTTGCAGATTGCAGTCATATTTATGGAAGAAAATGCAATACATGGGAAATCTGCCACAAGGGAGGACTTTTATGGAAAATTGGTCCATAATTAGGTATTAGACACTAAAGAAAACTGGAAAACTTCCCATGGCCAACCATTGGTCAGGCATGAACCCACCACTAGCTACCAGTATTTAGTGATTTTGACAGCAAATGGGTCATTAATATGGTCTGAGGCACCTGATGGGAAAGAGCATCACAAAAGATAAAACATCCGAAACTAATAAATTTCATCGTGTTAAAATTCTAAATTCTATTATTCTATTATTCCTTATAAAATGAATTTATTGTAATATTCATGTCAATAAAATTTATATCTAGTTTTGTTTTACAGTTTTAAATAGAATATCTACTACTGTAAAAAGAAGAGTAATTAATCTTGTCAGTGGCCTTGTGATTAGAAATTAGTTTTAAAAATTATTTCTTTTTGCTTTTGCTTTTTTCAGATGAGTAGTTTCAAGATTTATTATGTGGAATATGTATTCCCCTATTAGTTATTCTGAAATTTCTAAAAACAAAATTACTTCATATGAGTCAAATTCTTGAATTATTACAGGTGAATTTATTACAGTTTTAATGTTAAAGAAAGAATTTTACTTCTGAATCAACTAAATCTGAGGCAGATTAGCAGATTAGAAGCAATAATTTAGAAAGTTGATAGAATATTTTTTAGGTAAAGAATCTGGATGAAGAAATTATTGAATTTGAATCAGATTAAGAATTTGGACATATGTTTCACAGCACAAGCTGGTGCTAATAGTATCTATTTCTCGGCTTGGGATAGCATTCAATTCTGTTTATTAGCACTGCTGTTCCAGACATGTACCAAGATCTTTAGTGTGCCACATGTCCAAACAAATTCTGAATTATGGAAAACTGGTATATTGGGATTATTATTGAACAATTTGAATTTTTGGTTATTTTTCAGAGGGTGCAAGATTATCAGATATCTCAGATTAACTTATAGTTTATATAGTTAAATTTTAGTTTTATAAACTTTTTGTTGTTTACTTTCATGAAATTTAATATTTTGTACAAAAATTAAGTAATTTATAATTGCTTGCATGCATGCATAAATATTTGTATGTGTAGATGAATTGAAGTGAAAGGAACTTTACTATTATTGTATCATAAATTACTTTTATCTTCAAGTCTAAATTGTAATTTAAAATTAAAAAGATTTAATTGAAGGCAAGTTTTATCAATATTGAAAATTCTAACAATTTAAACAAGAAAAACATTTTTTAAATACCATTAAAAAAATAAAATAGATTAAATATATATTTAAATTATTTAGATTATTATTAAAGAATGTACAAGTATGTTCTGTTTCTAACCAGATATAAAATGTGCTGTTTATTCATCATCTTCTGTATATCTTTCTTTGCATATGTGTGATATTTTTATATTTTAAAAAATTAAATTCTGTCGGCCAAGATTTTAAATATTCACTTTATCATTAGTAATATTTATACATTTGTGAGAGATAAATATAATTAATTGTATGCTTAATGCTAAAATATATAACTTATATTCCTTAAATTCTATTGAATCTTTGAATTGAATTTTTGGATATCATTTTTAAAATGTAATATTAAAATAATGTGTCATAATAATTATTTCATCATTATTAAGTATTTAAATTGATGAAACTGAGTTTTTTGAATGCCAGTTAGGAAAAAATTTTAATGAGAGGGGAAGCACACACACACACACACAACACATAGTAAAATAACCAGTCCAAAATGGAACTTGAATACAATGGAAACCTGCCTAATGAGAAAAATTCTTTGAAACAGAGTGATTTTCTATGTTTAAAAAAAGTCTTCAAAATAGAAACCTGCCAAACTGGAAAATATAATTTATACTGTGCAATTCCAGTTTATGCAAGTTTTATTGTATATATAAGAATATGTCATATTATGTTGTTATTTCATAAATTAAAATTTATGCAAATTTTAAAGTACATAAATTTAATAACTTACTTTTGATTCTAATTCTGGCCGTTTAGCCAAATGTTCCAAAGCTAATGACATCATATTTACAGATAAATCAACTCCATGAATTGTAACTCCAAAATTCTATAAATAATAATATATAATAATTTACAACAGAACACAAATTATTAATCATAATTTAGGTAAATTATTTTACATTGATAAGTTAAAAAGATATAATAAAAGCTAAAAACGTCTTAAAACTCCCACCTTTGCCATATAAAAATCATGTCCTCCTAACCCACTACCTACATCAAGAACTTTATTGCCAGGCTTAAGTCTTAATAACTGAACAAATTCCTGAAAAATATTTTAAAATTTAAAATTCAATTCTTCATTTCTATAAAGCAATTTTTGTTTTCTGTTTGTATATGTTATTTCACCTTTGTAGTCTCTAATCCACCTGTACTTAAATATGTTTCTCCATAAATCCATTCGTACCTCCTAACACCTCTTCGACTATACTGTTGTTGATCCAAGAAGTGTTGAAAGTTGTCATGAGTTGTTGCTGAAGAGAGTTGTTCTCCAGACATTTTAACAGAAAGAAAGCAAACTTGCCAGGGATTCTGCTTATACTGAAAAATTTAATCAAAATATTTGTAATTGAATTGAAAATTTAAATCAATAGACATCAATTATAAATTAATAAATTATTTTTAAAATGATAAAATATACTCAAATGTTAAAAAATGTCCTTATATTTTCCTTTAGAAAATTAGTTACTTTATTGTTTTATCATCAGAAAATAAAGATCAGTTTCTTGAATATACACATACATATATATATATATATATGTTCATTCGTGTATATCTTGAATGAACATGTACATATATAAATTGAATACAGTAAAAAATTTATTGAACAGTTCTAAAAAAAATCCAGCAACAAGTTGCATAACTTTCCTGGCATAAACACTTAAAATTGTGTGAAGTGTCATTATTTAAAATCATTTTGTATTATTAATTATTATAAATGGAAAAAAGCTTAATTTTAATTGTTGACATGAGTTTTATAAAAAATTGTAAATGCTAATGAATAAAATTTTCATTAAATCCAACCTCACTCGAGATATGATATGACACCCCCTTTATCTCCCCATCCTCTAGAGTCTAGACCAGTGTTTTTCAACCTGTGGGTTGCAGGTAAAAGAAAAAGACAAGTGTTTGTAGGTCCTACACTACATTAAAAAACTACAATTTCAGCGAGAAGGCTGTACCTGTTTATTTTACAGTACAATTGGATTTTTGATCGATATTTAGGTCTCAACCATGGGTGTAGCTAAGGAGGGGCCTGAAAATGATAGGCGAAAAAGTGTTGAGTTGAATTGCAAAATGAAATAAAAAGTAGAAAAGTGGAAGCTGAAAATTCTGATCCTAAAAAAAAAAAAAGGGGGGTCAATAGCTCCCTGTGCCCAACGTTATAATTAAAGGAAGTTTCATACCTTATGTGTGTTAAGTTATTGTCGATTCTTCTGAAATTTTCATTTTAATCAACAATAATTTGTCTCAACAGAAAGAAAATTAAATACATAGTTTTTAAAATCACTGATAGTTTAATATGGCCCTAGGGGGATCGCCAGAATTTTTTAATTTGTAAAGGGGTCACATATTCAAGAAGGTTGAAAAACACTGGTCTAGACCATTAGCCACCAAAATTTAATAGCAACAATCCCCCTAATACCAGTATCCCTGCAAAATTTCAGAAATTTTTGACAAAAATCACAGGAGTTATTAAACTTCAAAGTGGGTAAATGAAATTGCGTCTCTCTCACACACACAGTTTTTTTACCCTCCCAAAGTTTTTTACATTTCTCAACATTTCAAATATATATAATAGCTAAGAAAGTGATCAAATCAAATTGCAATCAGTTGAATTTATTGAAATTTATCTTACAATTTATGTATCAATCTTCAACTAGATTGCTTATTGTGAAATTTATTTACCAATCTGCAGTTTCAGATTATTGATTAATATATTTAGAGTTTGAGATATTAATTTTTGAATATTTAACAATTAAAATACTTTTTAAAAATATAAACCTAGGAAATAGAAACTGTGAATATTCAGATACTAAAGAAACCTTTGTAAGCAACAAAAACAATTTTATTATAGACATAATTAAATTGTTTTTGCTGTTTACAAAGTTATCTTAAATGTCTGAAATGATAAAGATTGCAAATCTTAAGAATTTTTTAATTTAGATTTGACAAATTTATTAAAATTTATCAATTGAATAATATAAAATTTGGGAAATCTATACATCTGGAATTATATATAGATAAAGAGTATCAGATGACCAACATTTTTCATGATGAATAAGATTTTCTATCAGAAATGTTCATTTTAAATGAATAAATCTATAGAGATTATCTAAAAAGTATAGGACTTGTAAAAATGCATATTCAACTGTAGATTCTCAACAAATAATATTTATAAAAATTTTATCTCATAAAACTGGCAGAACTGGGCCATGAAAAATTTTCATAATGAGTCAAATAATGGTTATATTAATAATATATTTCAAAAATATAGTAGGCAATTTGGAGTAAAATTATTGTAATCGGCAAGTTTAGACTCTTGCCGATTACAATAATTTTAGACTTTGATTTATAGATGCCATCAACCATAAAAATGAAATTCAAATCATGCAGATCACAGAATGAAGTCAAATGAAATGCATACCACATTCAACACTATTTTTTTTTTTTTTTTGGAAGTGCAATAACAAAAAGCAAAATAAAACAGAGATGAGAAAATTAAAATAATATATTATTATTTCCATCTTCATCGGCCAGAAATTAAATCAATTTTTCTTAAAATCAAAAACTGATTTATTTCTAACTTACCAAATGCACATTCAGTCATCTTAAGCACTTTTGAATCCTTCAACCCATTTTCTATAGAGTCATCATACAGATACAGAACAAAATCATTAGGAGTGAAAGACGAGACGAGACCCCTAAGAAGGCAAGAATCCGATCACAGCCAAGCATTCTCATGCATTAAAGCAGCCCGGTATATAGTCAACTTAAAAGCTACCAAGAAGATAGAATATTAATTACATTTATGAAATAAACTTACGCAACTACGATTTACTTTTTCCTCAGAATGATAATAATAGGTACGAACAAAAACTTTATATACAGAATATACATAATAAAATTGAATGATAATGCAAGAAACTTTTGCATAGACTACATATGGATTTTGTACCTATATTTTTTTAAAACTCTTTTCGCTCCACGGACATAAGAGGGCCTTTTGCTCCACTCTCGTTGCAGGTTTGATCAGGCCAATGGGTAACCGAATTGCGAAGAACAAGCCCGACAGACTACATGAAACTGGGAATTTTTCGATCCCAAGTCTCCCAGAGCATCTAGCCATCAGTATGCATACATGTTAATATCTTTTATTTCTTATAGAAATGTTTTTTTTTTTTTCGTTTTTATGCAAAGCAAAAAGACATTCCTAAATTTAACTTACAACAGGAAGTTAAATTTAAGAATGTTTTTAAATGTTTACATTAAAATTAATGCAAAAATCGAAATATAAAGTTATACAGGTATCAAATTAGCAGGATACTTTCCATTATTGCTGACCTACCTTGCAGTGCAATCAATCTTAGCGTAAAGAATACACCGCGTATAAAATCAAACCTATTTAAAAGTCGCGATACACATTCAGTAGCAATTAATAGAAAATAATAAAAGTAAAGATAAATTTCAACATTAAATTTTTTATCTAATTTATTATAAATCTCCATCCGATGAAATAATTGCATCATTATAAAACACCATCCATCCATAGCGCCATCTGTTTATTACCAGAATAAAATTTCGCCAAACATTTTTAAAATAATTATTAAATTTGAAGAAATTTGCTTAATTTTTCATTTTATTAATAATTTTTAATTGATTTTTCGTATTAAATTAATAATAATTTGTAATATTTTAAGTTAAATATTTGATAAATTCCATGGACGTTAAGGATCAAGGCTCGAAGTTCGACGATCAAAAGTTCCACGTTTTATCTTAAGGAATTTTTAGATAAGTTTTGATTTATTTATGTTTACTAAATAATCTTTCGTCTGCAAGTTAAGTGATTTTCAACCAGACGGTGTTTAGATGACCTTACGTTTTATTAATAACACTACTCTTAAATAATGAAAGATTGATTGAATAGTTCATTTGAAATCTTTAAAGATCTATAAAACATTTTATTAACATTTCCTAAATAAAAGTAAACTTTTTCAACATAAATGATCATTTTTTAAAATCTGATTTCACTGTTTGCACCATCTTGCTGAAAATTTAAATTAAATTGTACACAGACTTATTTTTACTTTCATTCAGAAAATATATATGTGCATATAAAATTATAAATATAATTAAAATAAACAGTTATAAATAACTCAAATGTGACGTCGTCGACGAAAAATTTTTCTCATTAATGGACGTCACAATTACAGAACTTTGTTAAGAGCATTCTAAATTTCATATATTGTGTCTAGTCTGAAATAACTTTTATCAAAATTATTAATTAAATTTAAATATACTAACCAACTATTTTTAAAAAAATATGCTTATAACAATTTAAATTTATTATATTTTATTCATTTTAATGAAAATAACAATGAAATAAAGAAATTTAGTAAAATAAAATCGTCTTTAAAAAAACGATTTATGAAATTTTTAAATTAAGAACAAATAATAAATTTTAAACATTTTAAAAATAAAATATTAATTATTACAACGTTTTTAAATTTAATTAATTAATTAATAATATTTTAATAAGTAGAAAATAACGTAGAATTATTAAAGATATTTACTTTTTAATATGTAACTTACCAATTAAGCGAATTTAGTTGTAAAATTTCTGTTGAAATAATAATTTCAGGGAATTTACTACTAATACTACATTATACAGTAGCCCTGCGTTATATCGCGCATGTCGGAAAACATACCAAATGAATATATATCAGATTGTGCCATAGGCCTATAACTGGTGTAGCCTATCTATCCAGCTGTTTTGCCTATTTTCGATCTCCATGCCGACTTGCTTATTTGTGAGTTATATTTTATTTCATACTCTTGTAGTTTAAGTCATTAAATGGAATATCTTTACTATTAGAAATCTAATGACAGAAAATATTAAAGCATTTTTTTAATTATTTTCTAAGGCGCTTCTATATTTGGAAGCAGGGCTGTGGAGTCGCGTAAAAATCTACGGACTCCAACTCCGACTCTTCCTTATCATCCGACTCCGACTCCGATTTCGACTCCGACTCAACAGCCCTGCCAGGGCTGTGGAAGTCGCGTAAAAATCTACCGACTCCAANATCAAAATTATTAATTAAATTTAAATATGCTAACCAACTATTTTTAAAAAAATATGCTTATAACAATTTAAATTTATTATATTTTATTCATTTTAATGAAAATAACAATGAAATAAAGAAATTTAGTAAAATAAAATCGTCTTTAAAAAACCGATTTATGAAATTTTTAAATTAAGAACAAATAATAAATTTTAAACATTTTAAAAATAAAATATTAATTATTACAACGTTTTTAAATTTAATTAATTAATTAATAATATTTTAATAAGTAGAAAATAACGTAGAATTATTAAAGATATTTACTTTTTAATATGTAACTTACCAATTAAGCGAATTTAGTTGTAAAATTTCTGTTGAAATAATAATTTCAGGGAATTTACTACTAATACTACATTATACAGTAGCCCTGCGTTATATCGCGCATGTCGGAAAACATACCAAATGAATATATATCAGATTATGCGATAGGCCTATAACTGGTGTAGCCTATCTATCCAGCTGTTTTGCCTATTTTCGATCTCCATGCCGACTTGCTTATTTGTGAGTTATATTTTATTTCATACTCTTGTAGTTTAAGTCATTAAATGGAATATCTTTACTATTAGAAATCTAATGACAGAAAAGATTAAAGCATTTTTTTAATTATTTTCTAAGGCGCTTCTATATTTGGAAGCAGGGCTGTGGAGTCGCGTAAAAATCTACGGACTCCAACTCCGACTCTTCCTTATCATCCGACTCCGACTCCGATTTCGACTCCGACTCAACAGCCCTGCCAGGGCTGTGGAAGTCGCGTAAAAATCTACCGACTCCAACTCCGACTCCGACTTTTCCTTACCATCCGACTCCGACTCCGGCTAAAACATCGAAATTCCACGACTCCGACTCCGACTCCACAGCCCTGTTTGGAAGACAGTCCGCGATATAACAAGAGGTTACTGTATTGCAACTTCATTTAATTCTTTTTTAAGTAAATGATGATGAAATTTGCCTAATAATCAAGGTTAGATTGTAACGAATGTAATGTCATAGTTCTAATTAATTTATTAATTTAATTATGCCTGCAACACTACATTTCTTATAACTTATATCATTAATTGTTGAGTGAATTCCTTTATCATTCATTTAAAATAAATCATGCAGTATATTGCATGCAGTATAGTAAAGCGTTATACAAGCGTACTATCGATAATAAAAATATACATACATACTGTTTGATTTGCACTTATGTAAACTAATGAATAAAGCGATCCAAATTTAAAGTATTTTCCATTTATCAATAAGATATTTTACATATTCAGTATTTATTATGACATTTAATGAAAATTTTCTATTCTAGAACAAGAATATACCTTGATGTAAGTTCGTAGTGATCTGACATTCAGGACTCTCAACTCCCAGGACTGAGATTCTTGTAAAGGAGAATAAATTTGTGGTATTAACCTGATGCTTTGCAATAAAGCATTATAAGTAGCAGGACTTCGATAGAATGTGGGATTTGTGGACCTCTTGATCCCACCTTAAAATGAATCAAACATAAACTGTGATTTATATTCATTTCAGTTTTGAAATATTCAACATCTACCTACCAGATGACTTATAACAGGATTCTCTAATAAATAAATAACCATCTGGTTTTAGCCATTTTATCACTTTCTGAACTAAAGAAACGCATTCTTTATCATTCAGATACATAAATAACCAATTGCTGAATACCATATCAAATCTGCAATTCATAAAAGTTTAACTTCAGAGATTTTATAAAAATTTTTAATAATTATTTAATATAAGAAAATTCACTTTTTAGCACTAAATTCTAATTCTGTAACATCAGCTCTCATAAATTTAATATTCTGAAGAGACGAATGTTTTTTCTTATTTTCTTTAATATAGTCATCAATGAAGTCAACCGCAGTTACATTTTTAGATCTCTTAGCCAAATCGCCAGTGAATCGACTGAAAAAATAGTAATTTTTAATTTAAATTAATATAACAATACATTAATTTTTAGGAGAAATTTTTTTCTGCTACTCTTTAACGCATTTCTGTATATTAAATAATATTTCAGATCATGCTAAAGACATTTCTGTAAAAATAGAATGTTATATTATGAACTTCATTAAAAAATTTTTAAATTTAATTATTGCTAATTTTTTGAATTTGTTACCCAATTCCTGCTCCTAGTTCTAGCACTTCCATCTCTTTTAAATCGGGTAAATATGACAAAATTTCCAGTTGTTCTTCGGGTCCTAAAATCTCAGCATTAGGATCTAACATCATACTTTCATTACTCGGAGAAAAATTCTTCCAATATTCCTGCATCACTGCTCTTGTTGATACTATAAATTGATAATCTATATTATTTGAAAAATCTATCGATTTATTTATATCAAAAACTGAAATACAGCATATAGATCTAAGTTGTGACGTGGAGTCTATACAATTTAAAATATAAATTATTGAGTATTATATTACGAGTATTTCGTCAATTGAAAATTCTATAGTGAATTCTTAATAATGTCATACTATCAGATCAAGTTAACGCATAGGCATACTTGGCCGTATCAAAGTATGCCATTTTTAGGTGCCTAAATCTGTAGAACAACAGACACTTTTGTAGAAATTGTCAATGGCTTGAGGCACCCATCCATATGTAAGCCATTCAAAATTTTAAAAAATGAATTTATCTCGAAATAATCAGAAATTCGATTCTGATTGTTGTTTCATAATTGGCCAATGAATTGAAAGAATTTTAAATTTCCATAATATCGTAAAAAATGTACGCGCTCTTATTGGCTAATAATAAATATATAAGTTGTATCAACATCCAATAAATAAAATTCAAATTTTAAAGGAATCCAATAAACTAGCGTTTTATTTAAATTAACTTATATAATTAATTAATTATTAGAAGATTTATTTAAATATAAATCAATGTAAAATTTTAAACGTTTGAATATTTTATTATATATATATATTTAAAATAAATTTAATTTGCATTATAAAAAATGCAAAAATAAAGTAAGAATATAAAATCAAAAGCAATAAACAGTTTTTTGGCCATTGCTTGGATTTAAATGGATTTACGCATAAGTAAAGGTTTAAGCAAGCCGCCATATTGGAATTTCTAGTTATATCGAGAGGAATTCATACCTTTTTCGAAGCCGTTATTCATGATCAAAGTATGATTATTGACTCATTAGTAATTTGCTTGTCTTCTGACGCATAATATCGACGATTTATATTCAGACCGTCTATCTGATAAGAATGATCTTAAATATCATTCATGCATCGATTTGCTCTTTCGTCAGCTATTATAACTTTCTCAAGTATTTTGTTTACACATTCGCATTTCATCATGCAATAGGGCTTATATTTTCTACGAAATCGAATAGAATTGTCTTTATATACACAATATTTTTAAGTTTAAACGTTATTTTCTAAGTAAAAACAAAAATAAATTCGAATTTTTTTTTATATTTTATATATAAAAAATTAGTTCAGGTAGTTCTTTTATGAAATTTATAATAAATATATGGTTTACATCCAGCAAAATTGAACGTTTATTTATAATATTCCGTTGATGAAATATCAATGCTATGCATTATGCTGTAAGATGGTGACCCAAATTTGTGTTTAATAATCAATAATAAATTTTTTTAAATGAATATAGGAAATAATTGCCGTTAGTCACTTAAAAACATATTTAAGTTACAATTTTAAAGCAATATAAATTAATTTTTCTTATAGAAATACCTAAACCTTAACCAGTATCTTGCTTATCTACATCCAAATCCTAGATCTAAATACTTTAAAAAGAAAGGAAAAGGCATAAAATGTATAATTTACAGTATTTATTTACAAATAATGTCAAATCATATACACAGAGTACTAAATAAAATTAATCTGCCTATTCATACATCATCATCATATAAAACTTTAAATATATATCTTTTTGTTCATAACAAAAAGAAACAGTGTGATGAGATAAATGTAATAAAATGTTGTAATTGACTTTATATATATATATATTTATATTCATAGCGCAATTACAAACTGCATTACATTAATTAATGGCAGTCAAATTTTGGCATGAGGCCATTCCTTTACTCTCCTTTTCTTTTGTGGTGCATACAGTTAATATTTCTTTAGTGACTTTCGAATCAATGCCATTCTCTGAAAAATGAGAAAAAAAAATACAAATTATAATTTTTGAATGATGTTTCTACATGAATATACTCATAAAATAATAAATTATTTACTTGTTTGTGTGCTTCAGTTGTGCATGATCTTTTGTAAGGCCTGAGTTCCTCTGATCCAAATCCAGGTATCCACATGTTCCAGTTTTTTTCTGATTAAAAGATAATTTACATTATAAAATTAACTTAGAAATTCAATTTTATTTTTACAGCTATTAAAATACATGAATACTGAAAATTCAATGGAATTAGAAATTTTTATTTTGTTTTATTTTAAACTGAAATTTGCAAAGATAAGAAAATTTTATTTATAGATCTAGCATAAAATTCTCACACTATCATAGTAAATGATATACACATGTATCAGCAAATATATCAACTCTGGATTTGATTTATTTCTAAATATAAATAAGCAAAGTGCACATTTGATAGAAAATTTAAGTGATTATTGTCTGTGATTTACTCACTTTTTATTGTGATAATTAGATCATTCATTAAATATTTTTTCTCGAGTATTCATATTTTTACAGCTTAGTTGAAAAATATTCTTTATTATTAAAATCAGTATTATTTTCAATTATACTGTATTTATGATTATAAAGTATTTGGAATTATATGAATTCTATTATTTACTGATTACTTATTGTTTTTGTGAGTTTAAAAAAAATTAATTAAATTTTTGGCATTATATTTTTCAAGTAATTTACAACTTTTTAAGTAGAAATTTTATAATTTATTATTGTTAAATGAAAAACTAATTTTATATGTTACAAACTTAATAATGATTAGAAAAGAAATGCTAATATTTAAACCCTATATGGCAAGTCCTCATTTAATGTCATTTGTAGGTTCTTGGAAACTTCAATGTTAAGTGAAACAATGTATAACAAGACCAGATATAAACAAAATATAAGTTGATTAATACTATTCTTATTGGATCATATTTGTAACCTCCATCATTTATTTTTCACTTCAAAAATCAATTTTACTGCTTATAAAGAAAATTCAACAATAATAATTGGAAATGATTACAAGGGCACTTGTGTCTTTCTTCAATAATGTTTTAATGAAATGACTTTTAGTGAGAACTTGTGTGTGTATATATATATACACACATACATACATATCACTCAAGGGACACTGCTCTTAACTACCTCTAGCAGCTCAATCTTAATGTTTTGTAATACTTTGCAACACTCAACACTTTATTATACTTCTTATAAACATCATCATCGTCATTATATATTATTCACAAATTATTCTACTTATATAGCAAAAACTTTTAATAAAATTAATTTATAGTACAAAAGGCAAAATAACATTGCATTTAAAATAATGAGTGCAAATTAATAAACATATTTAAAAATAGACATATGGAGCTTCAAGAGAATAATTTATGGATTATCATGGTTTATAACAGTAAATTGTGTTCTGCTATATCTTGGAATTCTGCAAAAATATTTATGTGAAATTTTTATTTTCAATATTTTCACTAAAAATAAAAACTGTCCTTTCATAACTTCTTTATTTCTTTACACTTTATTTCTGCATAAATAATACTGAGGCTGGGTGATTCTGCAGATGTTGAAAGTTTTATAAATTTCAAGAGCTACAGTTTGATGTCCATAAGATTTTTTTTTATGGTAATGAATTAATTTGAATAAAAATATTTAATAATTTGAAATAACTCAAATAATTTTAAAATCATTTAAATAATTCACTTTCTTCCTTTTGCTACATTTTAACCTTACAATAAGAAAAAAAACACACTAAAAAAAATTGCAAAAATCTTTTAAGGTGTAATCAAAATTTTAAACCAAAAATCATTTTTTCCCACAAGAGAGGCAATTTTGCTCCTGTTTAGAACAATGTTCTACATATTTGAGCAGTTTTCTATCATTTGCTATAAAAACCAGTCTAGTTAAACAAATTACTTAGGTTGTGTGTCTTTGTTTCTATGGTAAACAATTGTAAACTGTTTTAATTTTTAAGCATACTTACTTAAAATTAAAATTATTAAATAGTTGAAATATTTTTAACTTAAATTATATTTATTTATTTATTTAAAAATAAATATTTAAATAAAGGAATTTTTAAAATATTTTAGGCATATAAAAATGAAAAGCCACAATGTGAAAAATATGAAGATACTTCAGTATCATTTTAGCAGTAAACATCTGAGTAATTGCAAACATTTAGTTAGAAAATTTTTTTACTGATTTGACTGATTCATTGTAATGATAATTTGATTATTCAAATCAGGGGGTCTCTAACCTGTGAAAGACGAGAAGAAAGAAGGTCCAAGTGAGATGTGAAAGACAAGTCTGAGAGCCAGATATGACAGATATAAAAAAAAAAACTTAATCTTTGAATCTTTGATTATCTGAACAGCAGCAGACATAAATCAATATGAAATTTATAACTGCTTTTTTTGGAAGAATGTCATAAAAATTGGGAAGAAATATTTTGGCACCCAATCCCTTTATATATTCATTGAATGGTAATGTTTGATATTTTAATTTTATATATTTGATTTTTTGAATGTAATTAAACATTTCTTTAAATGGTCTGAAACAATTTGTAAAAAGTAACAAAAACTGATATGATACTCAAAATATTGCAAAATTGTAAAGAATGAAAACAAAGTCTGGATAGTCAATCATAAAGATCAAATTACATTGTCTTAATGATAGCATGATGATACAAATTTTTTATACAAGACTATTTTTGTGATGTTTTAGTCAATAAAATCCATAAACAATGTATCTTGTATATGATTGCAAGGTAAACCATATGTCTCATTCTTTTAAAGCATATAGTTTTAATGAGTAATGAATATGTAAATGAACTACACTGCTGGCCAAGTAAAATGCAACACCTGCAATATCTAGTCCTACATGGTGTTGCATTTTACTTGGCCAACAGTATATATTCTAACAAAAACAGGTCGTTAAAATCATTTTAAGATATCCTGTAATAAAAAAAATAATTGGGAAAACATGTATTTTTCGCATATAATATTCTAAAAACAGAAAAGTGACTTATTGTTTACTCTGCAATTTTTTTTTATCTTTTCTTTTGTTTGCATCTTATTAATATGTTTAGTCTGTTTAAAATATGAAGATGATGATAAAAACTAAATATCATACTTTGTTAAATATATTAAAAATTCATTTAATTGTCAATGTAAATAAAATAAGAAAACTGATAGTAGAGCATAGTATTGTTTTATAAGGAGGTTACAACTGACCATATAAAATGAAATTCTGCATAAATTTGTACTCCTACCAGATGATTGCATATACCAGGAGTCAGTTTCCACAGCTCCTAATGCTATTTCCCTAGCGTATAGTAGTGGTCTCCAAACTTTTTTGATCACATACCCCTAAGATGAAAATAATTATAAATTGTACAACTACTTATATATATATACAGTACAGTAAGACCCTGCTTAACGCTGTTTCAGTATTATACGGTAGTATTGGAATTCCCTAAGATCACATGCAGTGTTGGGATTTCCCGAATACACGTTTGCTGCATCACAGTTGATTTATGATCGGTCATTAACTTTATTGTGTGTATAAACATATAAACATATTAATTTATTTTATTGTGATAAATATGGCATTTTTTAGTTTTTACAATGGGTGATTGCAAAGAAAAAGAAAGTAAAGCGACAAGAAAAAGCATTTCGCTGGAAACTAAAATGCAGGTGCTCAGACAATTAGATACAGGTGAACAGCAATCTGATATCAGCATTGCATTAAATTTGTCAACTTCAACAATATGGACAATTTTAAAAAATAAAGAAAAAATCGTATCATCAGCAACTACAACCACAACGACTTTGGCAATAAAAATTACCTGTACCAGAAGCAATGTGTTTGAGGAAATGGAAAAACAACTTTCCATCTGGATTGATGATGAAGTCGAACGCAGTATGCCATTAAGTTAAGCAATTATAATGGAAAAAGTGAGAAAAATTTTTAACCATATTCAGAATGAAAAAGGCAACAGGAGTGAAAATTTTGTAGCTAGTCATGGGTGGTTTAATCAATTTAAAAACAGAAACAATCTTCATAACATACATGTTACTGGAGAAGCAGCAAGTGGAGATACAAAAGCAGCTGCAGCATTTCCAGCAACATTAAGAGCAATCATTGAACGAGGGAATTATCCTTCTGAATTAGTTTTCAATGATGATGAAACGAGCCTTTTCTGGAAGAGAATGCCAAAATGTACATTTTTATCCCATGAAGAAAAGCAAGCATCAGGATTTAAAGCTACAAAAGATCGTTTAACACTTCTACTGGGTGGAAATGCTAATGGAGACTTTAAATTAAAACCACTGCTTGTTTATCATTCCAAAACCCTAAGAGTAATGAGCAGAATTTCAAAATCATCTTTACCAGTAATTTGGGAGTCCAGTAAAAGATCTTGGATCATTATGAAAATTTTCAAGAATTGGTTTACCGAACATTTTTGCCCATCTGTTAAACGCTACTGCGAATTTAAAAAACTAGAACCGAAAGCTCTACTTTTGATCGATAACGCTCCAAGCCATCCAACGCATCTGACTTAATAACATGCATTCCAGTAGAAGTGGTTTTACTGCTGCCAAATACAACTTTGTTAATCCAACCAATGGATCAAGGTGTAATATCAAATTTTAAAGCTTATTATCTGTGGCAGACATTCCGACAACTGATTGATAAAACATATGGAGCAGATAAACAATCCATTAGAGATTTTTAGAAAAACTATAATATCATGGATGCTGTAGACATCAATCTTTCCTGGAATGAGGTGATCAAGAAATGTTTGAAAGGAGTATGGAAGAATGTATGGCCAGAGCTAAGCAAGGAAGTTGACACAAGAGAACTCATTGTTGACGTCGACAAAATTGTTAAGCTAGCTAATAAAACAGGGTTGGATAATATAAATGCGCAGGATATTGAAGAATTATTGCAAGCTACAACTGGAGAAAGTTTTTCCAACGACGATCTTAAACAATTAGTAGAACAACAGGTGACAAAATTAGCATTTCTGATGATGAGGAACAAAAGGAACTTTCAATGGATTTTTTAAAAAAGTTTAGCCACTATAATGAAAATTATGGAGCAGCTTATACAAAATGATTTAAATTTTGTTA